TGGCCAACACCTTGATCTGGAAACTCCAGCCTCCAGGATGATGAGACAGTAACTGTTACTGAAGCCGCCGAATCTGTGGTGGTGTTACCGCAGCTGGAGCTGAGCAGAGCAGGCGCTCTTCTCTGCTCAGAGCATTCACACTCTCACAGAAGCCCCAGTCACCCCAGGCATGTGTGGGCCACAGAGTTGACAGTTTCTGGAGGGTGCTTTATGGATTTTACGTCACAGCAGCGCCCACAGCTGAAGATGGAAGATTGCACAGATCCGCCCTGCGAAGTCCCCTGTGCCGCCGCCATTTTGGTGAGGCATCCTCTCTCCCTCCCTCCCGCCCAGTCCTCAGGAGTAGCCCCTAGTTCTTTTCCTCCCTTTACCAGGGCTTTCCCTGTGTTTTGCCACCTGTTGAAGACTTGCCGCCATTCCCAATTGGCTCATTGAAGACGTTTTGCTTAATAAGATTCTCCTTCTTAGAAAAATTATTCTGTGACCAGGCATGGTGGCATATTATGGCTTGAATCCTAGAGGCAGAGGTTTCAGTGAGCTGAGATCGCGCCACTGCACTTCGTCCAGTCTGATTGACAGAGTGAAACTATCTCAAAAAAAGAAAAAGAAAAATTCTTCTGTAGTTCTTTGAGGGGGAAGAGGCAAACAGTCTTGTCTCTCATCCCTCCAAACATTTTTTTTTTTGAGACGGAGTCTTGCTCTGTCGCCCAGGCTGGAGCGCGGCGGCGCGATCTTGTCTCACTACAAGCTCCGCCTCCCGGGTTCCCGCCATTCTCCTGCCTCAGCCTCCAGAGTTGCTGGCACTACAGGCGCCCGCCACTTCGCCCGGCTAATTTTTGTATCTTTAGTAAAGACGGGGTTTCACCGTGTTAGCCAGGGTAGTCTCGATCTCCTGACCTCGTGATCCGCCCACCTCGGCCTCCCAAAGTGCTGGGATTACAGGAGTGAGCCACCACGCCCGGCCCAAACATTTTTTTTAACCTAGTAGTGGAATTCTTTTTTTTTTTTTTAACGTAAAACCAGAACTCATTTTTTTTTCTTTCTTTCTTCTAAAAAAAAAAAAAAACAAAAACGGAATACTTGTGCAGAACGTGCAGGTTTGTTACTTAGGTATATGAATGCCATGGTGGTTTGCTGCACCTATTGACCCGTCCTCTAAGTTCCCTCTCCTCACTCCCAACCCCCAACAGGCCCTGGTGTGTGATGTTCCCCTCTCTGTGTCCATGTGTTCTCAATGTTCAACTGCCACTTATGAGTGAGAACACGCGGTGTTTGGTTTTCTGTTCCTGTGTTAGTTTGCTGAGGATGATGGCTTCCAGCTTCATCATCGCTGCAAAGGACATGAACTCATTCTTTCTTAGGGCTGCAAATTCTTTTTTCAAGCAATGTCTTATGCAGAAACCCCATATATGAAACATACACACTTGTAAAAATTCGGGTGAAATTCACCTTACATAAAATTAACCATTTAAAAGTGAGCAATTCAGTGGCATTTAGTATATCACAATGCTGTGAAACCACCACTTCTATTTAATTCCAAAACATTTTCATCACCCTAAAATAAAATCCTGTGCCCATTAAGCCGACACTTCCCCTTCCCCCCGCCCCTGACAGCAACCCGTCTGGTTTCTGTCTCTATGAATTTGCCTAACTCTGGCTGTTTCCTATCCATGGAATCGCAAAATCTATGACCTTTTGTGCCCGGCTTCTTTCACTTCGGGTGAGGCTTTTGGAGCTCCTCCTCGTTGTAGCATGTGTCAGGACTGCATTCCTTTTCATGTCTGAAGAATATTCCATTGTATGGATAGACGGCATCTTGTTTATCCATTCATCTGGTGAAACATACACACTTCTGCTCTGTTCCATCCAGAAGCAGGGTACTGAGCTCCGCCTCCTCGACTAGCTTCCTCCACCACCTCCAAGGAGCTCCTAAGGGTCCTCTGAGCTTGGTAAGATGCGTGGTCTCCGGAAGCCTTTGATGAAATAAATGCTAATTTGTTTCCAAGGAGTGGTCCTACCTTGTGGCAGGGGTAAGGAGCTTCCATTTGCCTGAAAGTTTCTGCCCTACACAAAAGTAGAAACTGGCTGCATGCATGCACAGGATGGCTGAGTGGTAATGACTGGAGGAACTGCGGGCGGCCGGAGGCTGTGGGGCAGGAGGGTCTTTGGGTCGGTACTCTCTGCCCCACCCGAGGTTCACAGGGCCTCCTCCACCCAGGGTGGGCCGGCAGGTCTGCCTATCAGCGATCTGGGCAAGCCTGCTGCTTTTTATGACCTCACTTGCCGAAACTCAAGCCACGCCTGGGTAAGTACATTCTGCACACTCCATAAACAGGTGCCAGACTGCCGCGTCATCACATTTTTGCAAGTTTTTTTTTTTTTCTTTTTGTATGTGTGTTTCCACATTATTTACGGCGGAATTTGCCCAGGTGCAAACAGGAAGCCCTGGGAGCAGTTGTCTCATTTTTAGAAAGAAAGGTTTGTTCCCGGCCCTACTGCATAAAGGGTAAGAGAGAAATGAGAGGTTCCTGGCGGAAGGCTCCTTGCAAGGGACAGTTCTGAGCTGCTAGGTGCGGCCAATCGGATGGCAGGGGCCGCTTTAGTTTGGATAAGCCTTCTCTGAAAGGAGCCCTGCTGATGTAATAACGGGGAAAATCCCTGTGTGAAAGGCCCTGAAACCGACGGGCTGGGAAACGCTGATTCCCCGTGGGCAGGAACGCTTGTCTAATCGCGACGGCTCTGCACGGCTCCTGCCCAGGTATGAAGTGCAGCGGCTTGCACCAGTGCGAGGGCGGAGACGCACTGTTTGCCCGACTGCTTGGGGTGTGTCAGGGGTTCTGCTTAGAACTCGCACAATTCTGAACGGAGGAGGAGAAAGTCCAGTTGCTGAAGGGCAGAATTTCCATGCGCCCGCAGCCTCCAAATCCAGACCACCCCCAAAAGTAAGTAGGAGGCAGAGATGTGTGCAGCTTCGGTTCTGTCTTGGGAAAGCCCGAGAGGGTGGTGGTTGCAGAGTTCTCTAGAAGAGGATTCCAGGAAGCCAGGCTTCCCTCGGTGGTTTTACAATTTACACCTCACCAGGAGTTTTGCCGGTCTCTTTAGTCTGTTTGTTGAAAAACCTAGTTCAGATGCCTTGATTTTTAATAAGGTTATTGTATTTAATTTGGTTAATGATTGTCACAAATTAATATTACATTCAACCTTATGATTCAACCTGGAAGATACAAGGAAGTTAATAATTGCTAAGGCAATGATTCTTCTAACACTCAATATTTTCTAATGAGGGATCATCTTCCAAATGAGCATAAAAAATAAATGGAAGTGATTAATTTTAAATGCATGTAGATTTTTACATTCTCTGAGCATGTGATTATGTGTGTGTGTGTGTGTGTGTGTCTACAGCAAAAGGCAAGAAAGGATTAAGGAGTCATATCCTTTTGATTAAAGGGTTAGGAGTGAAAGAATTGACTGCTGTCGGGACGTCAATCACAGTTTTCTCAGTTTGGAGGCATTTTAATTGGGCCTGTTTGAACCATTTTCTTTTCCAGTGATGGTTCAGTACACATAGTGCAGGGTGACTACGCAATCAGTGTTGCTTAAATAAATAAGCAAGTCAATGGGTGAATTTTAAACTCTCTGAGGAAATACTATGATGAAAACCGTATTTCCATGAAGAAATCTTCAATTAGAAGGATGGAGTTTGAGGTTTATTTCCAACTTTTGGCCTCCCCAAACTGGGTCTTTGGCAAGCTCCTTACGTTCTCCAGCCTGAGTTCCCCCACTGGGTTAGACTGGTCATCTCTACGGCTCCAGCTCTGAAAGTCTATGATTCTTAAAGATTTTCTGTAATTTAGTTTTTCTAACTGGAAAAAGTGAAGGTAACACCTCTAGGCCTGAATATATGATAGCATCATATGCAATTCAGTTGGATGAGGTCAGTAAATGCACTGGGCTTCTCCGTGAATTGTGTGGGAAGCACCCTAATTACGATGATCATTAAATAGGCCGGGTGTGGTGGCTCACACCTGTAATCCCAGCACTTTGGGAGGCCGAGGCGGGTGGATCATGAGGTCAGGAGTTCAAGACCAGCCTGGCCAAGATGGTGAAACCCCGTCTCTACTAAAAATACAAAAATTAGCCAGGCGTGGTGGCGGGCATCTGTAATCCCAGCTACTCTGGAGGCTGAGGCAGGAAAATCGCTTGAACTCAGGAGGCGGAGGTTGCAGTGAGTCGAGATCGCGCCACTGCACTCCAACCTGGGCGACAGTGTGAGACTCCATCTCAAAAAAAGAAAAAGAAAAAGAGAAAGAAAAAAAAAGATCATTAATAAACCATGTCACTAAGTGAGCCCATGAAATGATTCTAGTTGACTTGGCAGTATGCTGCCTTACATGATCTCGTCTGGTCCCAATCACCCATTTTCCTTAGCAAGAAAGCCATTCTGCCTTGATAAAAAGTGTGTGCAGAAGTGAAACTGATTTGATGAAACAAGTGTTTAGAGTAAAAAAAATAAAAACCATATGTTGTTGGAGAGCAGTGGATTTCACGCCTCCTGATGTCTGACACTGAGCTCTGCCGTCACCAACAGTGGGAAACCAGCCACACTCTGAATTTCCAAACTGAACACAATTAGAAACAGAAAATAATCTGACAAGCAGCATTCCTCGGGCTCTTTGGCAAACGGACCCCTTTTGTCACTCCGTTTGTATATATACGTATATGTGTACACTGGCACTAGCTCAGAGTCTCAGTAACAAACCCGTTTTTCAGAAGTGTCTGCCAGCCCCGGGGTGGGGAATGAAAACATCAGCCCGTATTGGGAAAGAAACCTGGGTGGCAGATCGCGAAAGAAAACCCTTCAAAAGTAATTTTCCATGATGTGACTGTAGAGATAAACATTTCCCATCATCTGGCTTTTGAGTTTGGGGAGATGAGCAGACAGAAAAAAACTCAGATCTTTTTTCATTTCACAGATGTTTATACCCTTTTGTTTCTTCCAGTCACCTCTGACAGAATTCTGGGGACGCTGTGTACCCTGAATCACCATGGGCAATGAGAACAGCACCTTGGACAACCAGGTGGGTGTCAGGAAGCTTCTCTCTCGAGATACGTGGTGCTCTTGGTTGACCTTGGCTAGGTTCTTCTTACAGCGTCTCATCTTCACCCAGGAAGGAGCAAGCCAAGACAGCTTCTGCGTAGATGCGTGCAAGCATTTATGGATCTATGCAGCCATTTTTCATTTCATTGGAATTCTCTTACAATTAAGGCTAGCTCTAGTTAAAGCCAGAAACGCTAATTCTACTTATTATTTATTATTATTTTTAAAGACGTGGTCTTGCTCTGTCACCCAGGCTGGAATGCAGTAGCACGATCATAGCTCACTGCAGCCTCAAACACCTGCACTCAAGTGGTCCTCCTGCCACACAGCCTTTCATAGCGATCCTCCTGCCACACAGCCTTCCATAGAGATCCTCCTGCCACAAAGCCTTCCAAGTAGCTTGGACTACAGGCATGTACCACCACACCTGGCTAATTTTTTAATGTTTGGGTTTTGTAGAGATGGGGTCTGGCTATGTTGCCCAGACTGGTTTTGTACTCCTGGACTCAAGCAATTCTCCTTCTTTGGCTTCCCAAAGCGCTGAGATTACAAATATGAGCCACCATTACAGGCATGAGCCACCAGGCCTGGCTTTACTTTTTATTCTGTCTTCTAAAACTGACCTAAGAGAGGTTGGCACATTTTTCCTAGATTGTGTCCATCAACTTACATGGATTTAGCAGAAGTTAAAGTAAAACTTTTCCATGCTGCTCCCCCAAATAAAGCTATGGCCATTAAAAAATGATTTTGAAATCTATCAGTGCTGGGCAGATTAAATGTAAGTGGTCATTCTCATGTTAAACAAGATTTTCACAATTGAAGAATGGACTTTAACTGCTTAATTGTGCATCAGCTGAAATATTACAACCTATTCAAATTTTTCATTATCTATTTTAAGTTTGAAAGTTTTAACTTAATGCCTTGGTGAACAAAATCAGGAAGACACTTTCCCATTTATCTCACACAAACTGGAAAGTTTGGATTAATGACATTGAGTTCCTTGAATGAGAAAATTGGATCTAAAAATTCTCCTACTGTAATTCATTTTCCCTCTGCCTTTTTCTTCCCTACACTTTTTCTTTTTTTTTTTTTTTGGACAGAGTCTCTCTGTGTCACCGAGGCTGGAGTGAAGTGGCACAATCTCCATCTCCCACCAGGTTCAAACGATTCTCCTGCCTCAGCCTCCTGAGTAGCTGGGATTACAGGGGCCTACCAACATGCCCAGCTGATTTTTGTATTTTTAGTAGAGACGGGGTTTCACCATGTTGGCCAGGCTGGTCTCGAACTCCTGACTTCAGGTGATCCACCCTCCTCGGCCTCCCAAATTGCTGGGATTACAGGCATGAGCCACTGTGCCTGGCCTCTACAATTTTCTTTTCTCAAGCAAGAAAACAAAGGGTCAAAAGAAAAGTTGTCAAACTCCAGTGTCTTTAGGGGCAGGCCAGAAACATAATTGTGTTAAAAGACTGGGTCTGAGACAACAGGGAGAGGCAAGTGCTCTGGCAAACAGGGAGTTCTCGTCCTACTGTCTAAAGAGGGTAGCCACCATCAGCTCCAGTGGTTGATTGCCCTGTGGGAAGGTGGGCCCAATGTTCTGAGTTCAAAAGAACTCAGAAACCCATATTTTTCTATGAAATATTACGTTGTTAAATTAAACTTATTATTTTGAGATATTAGTAGATTCATATGCAGTTCAAAGAAACAATACAGAGAGCCCAAGTATGGCGGCTCACATCTCTAATTCCCGAACTTTGGGAGGCTGAGGCAGGAGGATAGCTTGAGCCCTGGAGTTAGAGATTAGCCTGGGCAAATAGGGAGACTCCGTATCTACCAAGGAAAAAAAAAATTAGCTGGATGTGGTGGTGCACACCTGCAGCCCTCACTACTCAGGATGCTGAGGTGGGAGGATTGCTTAAGCCTGGGGGGTCAAGGCTGCAGTGAGCCATGTTTGCACTGCTACACTCCAGCCTGGGCAACAGAGCAAGACCCTGTCTCAAAAAGAAAGAAAGAATAAAGAGAGGTCCCATATACCATTACTTAGTTTTCCCCAAGGGTAACATCTTGCCAAACTATAATGCAATATCATAACCTGGATACTGACATTGATACAGGCAAGATAACAGAGCATGCCCATCACCAGGGGATTACTCTTGTTGCCCTTCTATAGCCAGGCCCATCTCTCTCTCCTCTCATCCCTAACCCCTGGCAACTGCTATTCCTATTCCCTGTTGTTCCCTATTTCTGTAATTTTGTCATTTCAAGAACGTTATATAAATGGAGTCACACAGTAAGTGACCTTTAAGGATTGGCTTTTTTTTTTTTTTCTCTCTCAGCATAAATCTCTTGAGATTTATCCAAGTACCGTGTGTATCAACAGTTCATTCCTCTTTATTGCTGAATAGTATTCCAGGAATAGATGTACTGTACATTTTGTTGAACCATTCATCCATTAAAGCTCATTTAGGTTGTTTCCAGTTTTTGTCTTTTACAGACAAAGCTGCCATGAACATGTGTGTACAGGTGTTTTTTGAGAACACACGTTTTCATGTCCCTAAGATAAACACCCAAGTGTGCAGTTGCCAGGTTGTATGAGAGTTGCATGTTTAGTTTGATATGGAGCTGACAAACTTTTCTAGAGTTGCTAAGTCATTTTTCATTCCCACCAGCAACGTATGAGGGATCCGGTCTTTGGACCCTGCCTGTCATTTTGTGGTGTCACTTTTTGGTGTTGCTATTCTGATAGAGGTGTTGTGATATTTCCACGTGGTTTTAATTTACATTTTGATTATGGATAAAGTTGTTGAACACCTTTCATGTGCTTATCTACCACCTACATATTCTCTTTGGTGAAAAATCGGTTAATGTCTTTTGCCCATTTTATAACTAGATTATTATTATTTATATATATGTTTTTTGAGACGGAGTCTCGCACTGTCGGCTGGGCTGGAGTGCAATGACTTGATCTCGGCTCACTGCAACCTCTGTCTCCCGGGTTCAAGCAGTTCTCCTGCCTCAGCCTCCCGAGTTGCTGGGATTACAGGTGCGTGCCACCATGCCCGGCTAATTTTTTGTGTTTTTAGTAGAGACGGGGTTTCACTATGTTGGGCAGGCTGGTCTTGGACTCCTGACCTCGTGATCCACCCACCTCAGCCTCCCACAAGTACTGGGATTACAGGCGTAAGCCACTGCACCTGGCCTAGTATTTTTATTATTTTTTAAAGAGTTTTCAGAGTTATTTATATAGTCTAGATCCTAATCCTTTGTCAGCTCATGATTTGCAGATATTTTCTTCCATTCTGTAACGTGTCTTTTTGTCCTCTTGAGAGCATCTTTTACAGACCAAAAGAGTATAATTTTGATAAGGTACAGTTCATCAGTTTTTGCTCTTAGGGGTGCTGCTTTTGGTATCAAATCTAAGAACTGCGCCTACACCAACATTCTGAAGATTTTCTGCTTTTTTGTTTTTGCTAAAAGTTTTGAAGTTTTACGTTTTATATTTGAGTGCATGATTTATTTTGGGTTAATTTTTGTGTGAGGTACACAATTTAGGTATTGCGCATTTTCTGGGTTTGGACAAAGGAATAGTATCATGCAGGGTAGTTTCACTGCCCTAGAAATCCTCTGGGCTCCACCTACTCATCCTTCCCACACCCCTCAATCCCTGGCAACCACTAATCTTTTTACTGTCTACAGAGTTTTGCCTTTTCCAGAATGTCATATGGTTGGATCCTACAGTATGTAGCCTTTTAACATTGGCTTTTTTCACTCAGTAATGTCCATTTAAGGTTCCTGCATGTTTTTTCACTACTTGGTCATTGCTTTTTAGTACTGAATAATTTTCCATTGCCTGAATGTACCAGTTTATTGATCTACTGAATAACATCTTGGTTGCTTCCAAGTTTTGGCAATTATAAATAAAACTACTATAAACGTCTGTGTGCCGGTTTTTGTGCAGACGTGTTTTCAGCTCCTTTGGGTAGATACCAAGGAGCGAGATTACTGAATCATATAGGAGTATGTTTAGTTTCGTAGGAAACCACCAAACAGTCTTTCAAAGTGGCTGTACCATTTTGCATCCCTACCAGCTGTGAATGAGAGTTCCTGTTCCATATCCTCCCCAGCCTTTGATGTTGTCGGTATTCTGGATTTTGGGTCATTCTAATAGGTATATAGTGGTATCTTGTTGCTTTAATTTGCATTTCTCATAGGATGTGGAATGTCTTTTCATATGCTTATTTGCCATCTGTATATCTCCTTTGGTATGGTATCTGTTCAGGTCTTTGCCCCATTTTAAAGTTAGGTTGTTTGTTTTCTTGTTGTTGAGTTTTACAAGTTTTTTGTATATTTTGGATAAAGTGTGTCTTTTGCAAATAATTTTTCCCTCTCTGTGGTTTGTCTTCTCATTCTCTTGAGGTTGAGGTTCTTTTTTGTTTGACCTATGAATGTCTGTCTTTCTTTCTTTCTTTCTTTCTTTCTTTCTTTCTTTCTTTCTTTCTTTCTTTCTTTCTGTCTGTCTGTCTGTCTGTCTGTCTTTCTTTCTTGAGGGAGTCTCGCTCTGTTGCCCAGGCTGGAGTGCAGTAGCGCAATCTCGGCTCACTGCAAGCTCTGCCTCCTGGGTTCACAACGTTCTCTTGCCTCAGCCTCCCGAGTAGCTGGGACTACAGGCGCCCGCCACCACACCCAGCTAATTTTTTGTATTTTTAGTAGAGATGTGGTCTCGATCTCCTGACCTCGTGATCCACCCGCCTCGGCCTCCCAAAGTGTTGGGATTACAGTCGTGAGCCACCGTGCCCGGCCAGAATGTCCATCTTTCTAACAACATTTGTAAAAGAGTATTTTTCCTCCATTAAACCATTCCTGCTCCATTGTCAAAAATCAGTTAGGCGTATTTGTGTGGCTCTGTTTCTGGGTTTGCTATTCTTGTCCATTGATTGTCTTGATTACTGTGGCCATATAATAAGGCTTGAAATCTCGTTTTAT